GTGTGTGTGTGTGTGTGTGTATTTTACACAATAGCTTAGTAATAAGATTTTGATGATTGCCAGTGTAATATTACCAACTGAAGCAAACTCTTCCCTTTTCATTAATGATGCTTAGGATAATTTAAAAATAAGCCAAGAGAGAGAAAAAGAAAACAAAAGTTAACTAGTTGCTTCCCCAAAGGTGGTGTACACCCCAAGTGGTGTATAAGATTGACAATAGGGGTACAAGAAAAAATATTAGAGCTTCTAGCTAATTTTATCAAATACTTTACATTTCTACTTTTATTTGTTTAATGATGCGCATGATGCTTAGTCATATATTGAGGGGAGTGGCTGCTTGAAACCTAATTTCAGTGCTCACTTTGGCCTTACATATGCTACAGATGGAATGGCACAGAGAAGATTAACATGGCCCCCCTCGAGGATGACACTCAAATTTGCCTAGCATTAAAAAGCAAACCTGAGTTGATATGAGTACATAATCCAAAAAGCTCAGAGACCCTTAGGAGACCCTTAGGAGGAGAGAGACTCATTCTTTGTTGTGAGGTCATTTATGAAAAAGAAGAAAAGCATGTTAAACAAAGGAAAAATATCTTATTGTGGTATACAGTTCACATTTTAAATTAAATACTTTTCTATTAAGTTTCATATTGCTTCTGTGTTGTCTGAGAAACAAACTGTTTTTATGGTTTCATTTATGTTCTTTTGTATTATCTACACTCGTTAATACTTAGAGAAGTAACACAGAAGACAGACAGCGTGAGTGATGTTTACCACGGCGCTTTGCAGCGCCAGGGCATCGTGTTGAAGTGGCCCACACTTAACAGGAATATTTTGAGGGCTGTTTCCTACTTTCATCCTCATGTTAATGAGCTGTAATTAGCTTTACTGAGCTAACTGAGTATGTAGTCATTTAAGAGTTCATGTGTAATATATGAATACTTGGATTGGGGCTATAGAATAAGGTAGGAAAAAGCTTCCTCTTGAAAGTGCCATGTGAATTATTTTTGCCTTAAGCTAATTTTGAAAGAAGCCTCCCTTGATGGTCTCCCATGAAGTAATTGACTTTGGTTAGGTCCAAGGTAGAGTGTTTTACTAACCTTACTGCATCAAGAGTTTAGCTCTAATATGTCAAAACAAAATTTGCAACAAGTAGGACAGAGTTTTAGTAAAATCGATGTATTATAGTAGTAACAGAAATTGTATTAATTCAACATTTATTTTCTTTTAGTTCACAGGAAGATGAAAGACCTCTGTCACCCTTCTATTTGAGGTATTTATTTTATTTTTATTGGTCTATTACAGGGAATGAGGAGGGGTAAGGCTTCTTTGCCCATTTTAATTCTTTTCAATAGAATATTCTACTATGTGGCCAGACTAAGCTTATTGGAACCCCTCACTGTATTGTTCACGCTTTGGTTTTCCTCTCTTTGGTTTAAGAAATCTTAAAACAAATTTTAATATAGTTGAAAACACTAAGGTAAGATAACTTTGTTTTAAATTCAGAAATGTTAAGGTAGCCATCTTAATTTCAAAAACTGCCTGATAATTAGGCTGTAACCTAAATTTTAAAAATCTCTCTACATATGTAGAGGTTGGGAAGGGGTGTGAGCACAAGGCTTACTTGCTGAAGAAGCCTTAGGTTTTGTTAAGTCATTTCCTATGTAGTAGTGGTGTGAGAAACTAAATAGTAAGTTTATGGAGTTCAGGATTATTTTCTAAAGCTTGTAGTGCTAAACTAGCAACTTTTAAAGCAGGTAAGTTTACAGAATGTTAGAGTGGATCACTTCTCTCCAGACTAAAATGTTTGCTGTATTGATGTGATTTTAAGTGAACCATTCAACTTGAGTATAACCTACAACCAAGTTTTTCTTACTTATTGCATTTCTTTTCTCACTATCTACCTATTTCAGAGGCTTAGAAATATATTTGCAAATAATAGGGCCATATTAATTAAGGTTAAAATTGCTAACGTTTTTTAAAAAATATTTTCTCAATTTTGAAATCTATTTCTTTAAATAAATGCCAGGATATGTGATACGTAGTTTGTGTATTTATTTTTGAATCTGATTTGTGGCAATTATTAGATTTAGACGTTAATTCAACCACCAGTAGTTCAGAAATGTGACACAGGACTTCAGATTTAGCCAAGTAACTGCTTTTCAGTAGTGTTCTTGCCTTTAGTGACCTGAAACTTATCATATAATCACTTCGTAGCAAGAGGGGACATCTGAGGTTTCTGTCCAAGACACCGTGGTGGCCCGTTTGATTCATCCTGGCTCCCTGCCACCAAGTCAGCACACCCTGGCCCATAGGCTGTCTCCGTGCGCAGTTACTGTACTCACACGAGATGCGGTTGCTGAGCACATGGCGACTCTGGGATTCATTATGTAAATATACACAATAGTATCAAACATGATTATCATATATTAATGGAAATTAACTTGTGCATACTGTGGAAGATTACAACACAGGATCTTGCCAATTAATGAAAACTGTTAGTTCTCTGAATGTCTTATTTTTATTACTCTGGATAACATCAATCCATGTTTTACATAGTCTTAAATTTTATTTTTTAACCATTAATAAAAGGCAGATGCAAGAAATAGGTTTATAAGTCATAAATCCTCAAGGACACTTAATTGTGTTTTATAGTGGGATAATTTTTAGAATTACCTAGACTAGTAATGCAGTCTTGAAAAAGAAATTCTGTACTAGCAAAATGAAAGTAAAAGAGTGTAAAGAAAGTTAATATAATTAATATATTACTGACCTCTCGATACAAGCTATTTTACCTTTCAATGTTAAGAGTCATAAAAATTGAAATATGATAAAAGTTAGAAAAAAAGAATGAATATGTTCACTAACCCACATTTACAGTAGAGGTAAAGTTGAAAAGAAGGAAGTTACCAGCAGGCATTCTTTTCACATAAGGGAAATTTAAACCTAGTGGAACTATTTTATAAATGCAAAAATTGTCATTATTCTAAAATTAAAATTTCACATGGTTCTTTTTCTGAGTAACATTATTTGATAGTCTTAGAAGTTATGTTAGAATTAGGTCGGTACAAGTTAATTTACCTTTTGTTTATGGACTCGACATGAAGCAGGGAGAATGTATTAGTAAAACATGAACTTTTTTTTTTCCTTCAAATTATTTGCATGGCTGGTTTGAGATTGATATTCTAGCATACAGAATTCAAGTAGAAGAAAGAAAACATGGTTGTTAATTATGATTAAGTTCTAGATTTCTGGACTAGAAACATAACAAGCCCACTGATAATTTAATTTAATTTACAAATTAGTGCACTTTCTTTTGCACTACCTCTAGTAGAGCAAATGAATACTTAAATATTTTAAATATATTTTAATAAATTTCTGTAGTTTCCTTGTCTTCCATTCCTTTTCCTCCTCCTTTATTATTTTTTAAAAGATATTTGGTTGATTTTTAGGGAAAGAGGGAGGGTTAGGGAGAAAGAAACATTGATGAGAAAGGAACGTCAATCAGCCGCCTCCTGCATGCCCCCTGCTGGGCCTGCAGCCTGGGCTTGTGCCCGGACCAGGAACTGAGCTGGTGACCTCTCGGTGCATGGCACAATGTTCAGCCAACTGAGCCACACCGGCCTGGGCCCTCCCACTTTATTATTTATTTAAGATTTCTTTGCTGCAATATTCCAAATGGGGAGTTATTGCAAGACTCGTTTCCATAATGCTTTGTTAACATGATGGAAAACTAAATTGGCTCTTTTAAATCCAAAATAATATTTACTGTGCCTTTGTGAAAAGTGAAAAGTGATTGGTAGTTACAAAATGGGAGAGGGAGGAAAGGCCAGTCAAGAGATGGGACACATGAACTGAGATGGGCACTCACCAGAAGTGTGTCCCGCCACAGGCAGCCGGGTGGAGGGGGTGGAGTGGGGCAGCTGGGGAATTCAGTCCGGGGGTTATTCTGAACGCCCAGCGTGAGAGAGAACGGCAGAACTCGGTGGCTGCTAGTCCGGGAGTGCGCCGCTTCAGAGGGACCAGGTCAAAACCGAGAGGGTAAGAGCGAAGCAGGGCTCCGGTTTCAGAGGAAGGAGAATAGATAACCCATAAAGGAGCTCGCTGTGGGTGTGTATCATCTGTGTATGATCAGACAGGCCTCAGCTTTTGGTGAGGAGACAAGGTGAATTACTTCTAACAAGAAGACAGAGTCTGTGTTTGGGGTAGAGCAACGATTTTCAACATTTTTCATCTCATGACACACATAACCTAATTACTAAAATTCTGTGGGACACCAAAAATATATATTTTTTGCTGATCTGACAAACGAAATAGGTATAATTTAGATTTATTCGCACCGGACAGCTATTGTTCTGTTGGCTGTTGTCATTTTTTTATTTCATAACCTAAGGAACAAGAGGCCAGTGCCCCTGACTAAGTAGTCAGGTATCACATGTTTTAAAAATTCTTGTGGCACACCAGTTGAAAATCGCTGGGATAGAGGATAGAGGCGGAGAGCAAGCAGTGTACTGGTGGAGGCTCCAGACCTTCCTGTGCCTGGAGGAAGGGAGAGGGGGGATGCAGGACAGGGCACCAGAGAGGCCAGATCCGTCATTACCTGGCTCTGCTTTTCATCTTGTAGAATTTCAGTTTCTGTGGTCGCAGTTCTCTTAACAGTCATGGCTGAAACTGTACATTTAAATTGCCCTCAGTCTTTTCTGTAGAAAGGTAGGGCTGTTATAAATAGACATGCACTCAGATATCCTTATTCTAGATTAAGTATCTCCTGTGATAAGAACCCTGTGTTCTCTAATTTCAGTACTTCTCCAGCCTAACGTAACTCACCACAGAGCCAGTTGTCCTTTTTTTAAAGGAAAGAAATAGTAGCTACAAATCTACACCTGCCGCTGTCCCATGTGGGAAGTTTATTGCAGCTACAGTAGCTCAAACAGTAGCTGTCATTGTTCCCCAGATGCTCATTAGAGATTACCCGCCCCGGTGAGGTTATTAAGGAAATGAAAGGGAAGGACAGGTTATGCCAAATTCTTAGTGAGATTGCCACAGAATAAACATGAACAGGCAAACTTAAAGTGAAGAACATTCTTGGCTAGGGCGTCCATACTCTGGCCTCTTTCATAGCCTAGGCTGAAATCCCACAAAAAGGGCCCCTGCCTCAGTTGCTCAGATGGACATCAAAGCAACTTTTGCCGGAGGTGTTCTGTGCCAGCCTGTTATTGTCTGATTTCTTTTCCTGGCATGCAGCCAGATCTAGCTGGGATCTGTTGCTAGTTCTACTTCTGTTTGTCTGAGTCTTCGGTGTCTACAAGCCCGGGTTTTGATTTCTGTGATCATTTCCACTGGGACTAGGGTTCTTAACCTCCACTTTCTATTTCTCTTTATCTCTGCCCACTCCTACCTCACCTGTACTACCTGTATGTTCTTTATGGCCCAGGGTCAGATCCTGTCCTTGTCCCATCCCATCAGACTTTGAGCTTTGAATTCCTTCTTCTTTACAAATTCCTGGCTTATACATATAGCCCATATACCCACAACCTGTCTTTCCTGCGCTTTATCAAAATTCTAAATATGTGCTTCAGGGGCTACATAGCTATAACCAGTCTCGTCCATTGGGCTCTGACCAGCTCACCTGGCCTTCAAAGAGCGTCTCCTTGCTTACCTAACAGTGTCTTCTAGCAACTACCCTGACCTTCCTCTGCTGTCTCTTTCTCATTTTGTTCGCCATTGAAACTCTGAAATTGACAGCCTTTATCAAATTCAGCCAAGATTTAATACCATGCAAATTAAGTTAGTGTTTTAGCAGATTTGGAGTTACTTAGGGTCAGTCTCAGTATTTCATGTTTTCTAATTTTTCTGAATTAGGAACATCAAATCAATTTATTCCTAAATTAGTTGTTTGGCACACAAACTCATTCTTTAGGATTTTGTTATTTTTTTATTCCTAGAACCTAGCAATCATCAATTTTATGAAAGTCTTTTAATTGTAGAATTCCTGTTGAAGAAAAAATTTAGCTTTGAATAAAGTCAGATGAAAATACTACCTGACATTTAATGAAATCTAGAAATTATATCATACCACTCCTATTTTGATATGTGGAAAAATTCTTTCTAGATTGTTTATAGGTAGCTATTTGAGGATTTCCTTTCCAAACAACTTGTGCTAGAAGTTGTGGGTTTATGATTTTTTGGTCATACTTTATTAATAGGGTTTTTTTTTAATAGTTTATTTTACTTCTTAAGAAACATGCTGTATATATTATACATTATCATTTT